TACAGTACAGGTTCTCCTATGTCCTGAGTCTTTAATGACTTTGAAAGGCTAGGGCCACAATATTGGCTATCCTTGCAGTCCTTCTTTTTTCTGATTTTTGGTCTGCAAACTTCAGAGGTTAGCTGTCTAGAAGAGAAGCTTATTATTACCCTACAACATATGCAGTTGGGTTTAACCTAACTATCTGTCTGAATATCAAACATCTTAGGCATAACATGGAACAGGTATTTTCCACTACTATTATGGACTACTGGACTATATTGGGAGGTTTTGCTGAATTCAAGCACCTACAATATTTAAATGACAATGAAATGCCCTTCTTGGACAAAACTAACCAAAAAAGTGGGGTAGAAATGAACGACACTTTTGTATCTGTATACTCAAAATAGTTAGGATAGATATACAGCTCTATTCTCTGAATTCAATGAATAGAGAGGTTTGTTGTAATAGTGTTTGAGACGATATCATGTCTGTATCTTGTACAATGAGTAACCACTAAGACAACAATATGCAATGTATTAATTATTGAAAATGTGCTAGTAATCAGTTGTGAAGCTGTCTCATTGATATTTGTTTCTCAATAAAATTATTTAAAAATAAATAAAAAATATTATTTATAAGCTACCCAGTCATCAAGATTTATGATAGCTGACAGAAGAGACTTACTAAATATGTACATTCTATACTTATTAGAAATGTCCTAGGAAATTCTGGTTCAGAAGGTTTGCTGTGAGACTTGGAAAGAATTTAACAAGGCTTCCAGAGGATTACTAAAACCAAGCAATATCACTGTAAAGCAATGGCTTTCAACCTGCCAATACTTAGCTTTAAGTTAAAAAAAAAATTTCCCGTTCCCCTAGTCTCACCTCAAAGTAACTTAATCATGACTTCTGATAGCAGGGGCCACTGTTACAGCAAGTATCTAGATGCCCCTCAAAGCCTTGTAGGTGGAGCTTTTTCAGAGGTGGCTGCTTCTAGTGTATGTGATGCTACTAGGAGGAAGGGTGCTAAGATTAAGGGTGTGAGTGTTACTCATCCTAAATAGCCCAGATAAGGTATAAAGAACACAGAGAGGCTCCCGCAGAAAGAGGAAAAGTCACTTGCCTCTTGCTTGCATTTGCTGTCTTCTGCCTCGCCTGAAATGTTTTTTCTCTGCCATAGCCCTCAGCTATTCTCCTGCTTTGAAGCCAACTGATTATAGACTGAAACTTGTACAAACTGTGTATTGTGTCCCAGCAATGAGAAAAGTAACTGAAATACCTGCTTAAGTGGAAGTGTACATATATTTTAAAGAATTCTACAGTAGCTTTATATGTAGGCTTGAGAATCATCATTTTCAAACAATCCTCTGGTGGATATTACAATAGCTTCTTGAAAAATACTGTGCAAGATAAACACTTTTACCAAGTGTTTCTCTAAAATAAAAGATACTGGATTTTAGTAAATATAAAATCAGAACATTTCACTATAGGGTAGATACCATATAGGGTCAATTTGAGTATCAGATATTCAATATTTCTGCGATGGAATTAGTTCTGCTTTAGCCATTTTAAAAAATGCTACCAACATTTCATTTGGACCTTTAATCATGTATAATTAATTCTTATAACCCTGTAGGAACAGACTGTGATATGCAGATAGGATGCACATTATCCAGTAAAGTAAGTAAAAGATATGTGAAACAAGATTTGAGGTTAATTGTGGTAGAATTTAAAATGCTAGCCATGAACAGATTTAATTATGTACCTATATATGTATCTTTTTGCTTCCAGAAAAGAATCTGCACAGCTGTATTTGCCTAGATATCTTCAGTGTGGTGCCTTATAATTATACACCTTAGATTTTGGAAAATGTTGAAAGAACCAGGTTCTGATCTGGATAATGGCACAAGTATGTTGGAAGATTATTATACTCCTTGGTTCCAGGGAGTTTAGCTTGATTCTTTCAATGAACAACACTGTAGAAGGAGATCCAGTACCAGATGGTAATGTTGGCTAGGAGTGGTTTTCTCACCTATATTTGGCAGCCTAACACTGAAGTGGTGCTTTGTATGCCTGGGACTTCCAGTCTGTACTACTCAATGCGAGCATCAGGAAACTTTAGGAGGTATAGATGCAATGACACATCTCATTAAGGGTCTCACAGCTATGAGCATCTGACATCTGTGCTGAAAATAGGAGTGAACACATCCTGCAGTGGTTATAAACTCGCATGGTATGTTGTCTTATAAAGGAGAGATGACTGAAAAATCATGTTTTGTGGGCTTGTAATTTCTGGGGCATTTTTGACATGGACACATAGATTATGAGTTAATGGACTGCCCATTTTAAAGACAGCTTACCATTAAATATATTCCCTCTGTCTCAACATTAAGATAATGATTGTAGCAGATGACCTGTTTATCATTTAACAGTAATAATAGCTATTATAATTTGAACACCTATGATGCACTATGCTACTTCGTATATGAGCAACAGATAAACAGCCCTCTGCAGTGTTCCCATTTTGTACTTGAGGAACTGGGGGCTCTGAGAGGTTAAGGAACTTGCCAGAGGCTGTGAAACTCCTAAGTGACCCTCTCTGGCTCCTCTCTGGCTGCCCACTGGGTCTCTGTCCATCTTGTTGCCATTCCCAGCACTGTGTTCTGGAACAGATTTAGCATACATTTTTACAAGCTTCAACAAACTGATATTCATAATAATTTTCCTTTTGCCTAATATTTAAAATGAAGGAAGGAAAAAAAGCTACAAAACTACTGGTAGATTCAGTCTTCAAGGAGCTTACCATCCAAACAGTTTTCCCTTGTTAAAGAATAACACGGTGATTCTCCTGTGCATTTTGAGATACTTTAACTTTAGGTATCAGAAGCACTGCAAGCTGCAGACATTCATTTTCACCCCATTCTCCATCCTCCTTCTCAAAGCCCTGAAGCACAAACCCACTGGGAGTCCCCTCTGCTTCCCAAAGGAAATATTTCATTCATATAATGTCTCCTTTGTAATCAACACTGAGAAATGTCACTTTGATTAAACACAACTCTGAATGACTAAGACCACAGTACAATAAATTCTCCAGAGCTATCTTTCAGAACAACAGATTGCTCTCCGGTCTTAATCCTCCAGAGTCTTATTTAATCAAAATGATGTTGCTAATTAAGGATTAAAACCTCTGAATAGAATAAAAAAGGATTTTTCTTTCTCCTTTGGGCAGGTCAAGGAGGCAGAATTTGCTATAAGGAAGTAAGGGTCCCTTTCACCTTTGGTAAACTGCATTGTTCTTTGACTTTAGGACTTAATCCAAAATGGGACTGATTTATAATTTTAATATAATGAAATAGAGAGGGAGGGAGGGAGGGAGGGAAGGAGACAGAGAGAGAGAGAGAGAGAGAGAGAGAGAGAGAGAGAGAACTTGGGTAGCTACATGTACCTAAAGATTTATTAAAAATCTTACTTAATTTAATACTATTAAAAGGAATTTTCTTTAAATATTTTGATTGTTGCTTTTATCCATTGGTAACACTAATGAAAAGACAAGAAAAGATGTTGACAACCCATTTCACAAAAATAAAGGGAAGAAAAGTCTTAATGCATTGTGTCTGTCAGCTTTCCATGTCTGAGACAAAATACCAGAAATAATCACTAAGATTTGTACTAATAGTGTTAGGACAGGATATCATGTCTGCATCTTATACTATGAATAACTACTATGAAGGCAACAATATGCAATACATTAATTATTGTAACAGTCCTGCTAACCTGTTTTGAAACTGCCTCATTGCTCTTTGTTTCTCAATAAAATTAATAATTAAAAATAAAGATGAAAGTTCTATTTTACTTTGTGCTTTCAGAGCTTTCAGTTCATGGCCAACTGGCTCATTGTTTCAGGGTCTGTGGCAAAACATGTCATGTTGGGGAACAAGAGGGGGAGCAAAGCTGCTCACCTGCTGGTAGCTGAGAAGCAAACAGATTGAGGGGAAGAGGCTAGGGATCCTATATGTCCTTGTAGGCCACACCCACAATGACCTAACTTCCTCCCTATAGGCCACACTTCCTGAAGGTTCCACTGCCTCACCACAGGAGTAGAGGCAGGAGACAAACCTCAGCACATGGGCTTTTGGAGAATATTCTGATCCAAACTATAGCAGCACCTCACATGTATTTCACACTCATTGATGAAACACGAAACCCAAGAGAAATTCTGCACCAACTTCTAAACTTTTTTTTCACAATTAAAGCTCACTTCTTTCTTGAAGTGCTATTACGAAGTAGAAATTCATAACTTCAAGAATATATAAACTGATGAACTGTAAGAAACCATTTGAAGGGACAATGATTCAGAAAGAGAGTTTAGTTTTCATGAAAAAATTATTTCAGGTGTTAGAGGAAATGTGAGTGAAAAACCAAGGTACTGGCTGATGCCCACAAAATTGTAAAATATTTTCCAAGTTTCTTATCCCTGGTTTGCATTGGTAAAGACTTCACATTGACTATAATACCCTCTTCAAGTATTTTACCATGATATAGACATAACTAATAGTAATAGCTACCATTTTTGATCATCTGTGTGCCAAGTTCTTTGCCAACCATATATATTTGTTGTTTCTGCTAAACCTTTCAGATATAAACAAATGTAGGTAAAGAATACATGACTCAGATAAGGGCATACGGCTTGTGTTAAGTACAATTGAGACTTCCATGCAGGCCTATTTGGTTCCAAACACATTTTCTATTTAACATAACAGATCATTTTACATCTTTTTACTTGGATAAATTCATCAGTGTGCCTCAGAAAGACCCTGATAAGTTCCACTCGTCCGTATCTGCCCTCCCAGTTGCTATAACCATTGACTGAATCACCATCATATCATTGCATATACCTCCAACCCAACAACAGAGACCATAACTGCTATCAAAACTAACCAGAAACCAATGAGAAAACCCAAATAGAAGAAGTGTCGTAATTAATCAGCACTTAATGCTTTCTGAATCAGCATCACCTACCAGTGAAAAAATGACGTTTGTTTCTTTGATCCACATTCCTGAAGGCCATAAGCACCCAGTGGACAAACAACGGCTCTGATTCCTCCTGTGCCCAGGCAGATGGCCAGCAGTGCCACAAAAAATAGCCTGTTCTGCTCCTTTGTGGGTATGTTGTTTACCACATGGTAAGTGCCTAGGTAGAGATCTTCCATGGGAAAAGCAACTGCGGACAACAAAGCAGTGCCTGCAGGTACAAAGAAAAGGAAAATACATCTAGCATTGACCCCTGGAATCACCAAATTGTATCCTAAAGGTTCTTTTTTTTCCATAATTATATTGGGAAACAAATAGCAATGAGACAGTTTCACATCAAATTGGTAGGACAGTTTCAATAATTAACACATTGCATACTGTCTTTCTAGTGGTTATTTGTTGTACGAGATGCAGACATGATATCCTATTTACAAACACTATTAGAGCTAATCCCTCTATTCATTGAATTAAGAGAATGCAGTTATATATCCTAACCATTTTGAATACACAGCTACAAAATGGTTATTCATCTGTATCCCCTTTTTTGGTTTAGTTCCATAATTTAAATATTATAAGTGTGTAAACTCAGCAAAATATTCCAAAATATTCCAGTAGTCCATAATAGTATTGGGTTTTTGACATGACTAGCAATGTCAGAAGTTGTTGACCTGAGTCCCCTACAGCTCAACATAACAATATGGCTTTACTTCTTATACTTCATTTTTACACTTTTCTGCTGGGTGGTTAAGACCAAGATAAAGCAAGACCTATGTAATAAGAATTGTAACTTTTGGATCTGATAAAGCCAGTCAAATCCCCTCATGATTTATCCTGAGACCCTTTACCTCAGACTGTAGATCCTTTGTGAGTGTCGGTCATGTGGATGAGTCACAGCCATTGCTTGACCAATTTGCTCTCTGTGAAAGCCTGAGAGAATGTTTTCTCTCCATGTGACTCTCCTTAGGCACACTCTACATCTGAATTAAGCTATTAATCATAATTTTCTATACCATTACCATTAAATTACAGTTACTTTGGAGCATTAAGTCAAATGGGTTAATCACTTTCCTCTTTGGCTCCATAATCTTCTTGATCAGAAAATTTGGGACACAACTGAGTTACATGATGTTATAGTACAAGTTCTCATATGGCCTGAGTCTTAAGTAAGGCTTTTCCTTTGATAGTAGCATTATTATGTTATTGTCTTATTAAAGTGTTTGAATTAATCATTGCAATTATGGGAGTAGTCTGATTTTGCTAAGTGTGAATTTTTTCATTATATATCTTTTTTTTGCTTTTTAATCAGTATATTAAGAAGACATTCATACATTTTAACAATTGCTTAAATTCTGATACTCAGAATAAGCATGTAAACAAACATATAATATTTTTAAATATACAAGTAAAGCTATTCATCATAATTTGCTATACCATTACCATTAAATTACAGTTACTTTGGAGCATTAAGTCAAATGGGTTAAAGTAAGCCTGTAACATACCTATGGAACATCTTATATTGCACATGCAAATTACCTTTCTGTGTAGTCTCTTCACTTTAATTTCAAAAATTACCCAGCTCTGAAGTCTCAACTCAAGCACTAATCATGGTCCAAAGAGAAGGGAAAAACAATGTAACTAGGAGTGGTTAAAGGTTTTATATATATAGGACTGCAATCCTAGAAATGCAGGCCCTTAAGAAGTGGCATTGTGATGTACGCCTTCTCTAGAAAGGTATGAATCCAGAATTCTTGGGTCCCCTTCTCTTGCCCAAAGCTTGAACTATCTTTTCTCTCAGAATGTGTAAGCAAATTATGTTATTTTAACAACATTGAAACAATGAACAAATGCATCATATGAAACTCTAAGATACATCTATTATCTCCAAACTTAACCTGGAATAGAAAGCCACTGTTAACATTGTTATTTGTTTTTAGTAGAGTGATAGAAAACACAATGATCTCAAATATTGCAAAAGGTTATTAAACTTTTGAAGAAAACAACTATTTTTTTCCATTTCTACTTCTCTTTCTCCTTCAGTCCTTTCTTATTTCATTCCTCACACAACAAGATGACGCCTTCCTCATAAGTACAGAAGTGAGAAGGTTGGGGAGACAGGTATGGCCCACATTGCACAGCACCAGTTGGAAGAAAGGACATAAAGTAGCAAGGGATGGCTGAATGTCCTTATACCCACCTTCCAGAAGCCACACCTGATGACTTTATTTGTCTGATAAAAACTAACGCTACAAGCTCATGCAACTTTCTAAGTCTCTATGATTTGCAAAACACCTTCACATACTCCATTGTTTCCTCTTGGAAAAGCTTTGTCACGTCAGAGGATAGACTTTATTATTCTAATTTGTAAAAAAAATGAACAAATATTCAGTGAGGTTAAGTAATTCACCCAGTGTGACAGAGCATCTCAGTTATAATCTTTTTCTTGGCCTTTCTACCTCCCAGTGGCCAAATCAGCAAAAAAGTTTGAAATAGCATTTTCGCCAACTATTATAAAGGTAATAATTCTTAGTTCTGAAAATTGTAAAATTGTAGATCATACAAAATAATAAAACTGTCCATAATTTCACAGCCCAGAGATAAACTTTACCATTAACTATAATTACAAATAGATTTTATTTAAGTAACAGTGAAATTACACTTTTTTCACATGACCAACTGATATAAAAAAATTTTAGTATTTCCATTACATTCTTTAACAACATGATTGCTAATGATGATGCAAGATTCTATTATTTGTTGTAGGCTCCCTCTTTAGTTACTGTAAATGATTATTGCAAAAAATATTCTTACACATTAATTTTGTGCGCATCTTTGATTATTTCCTTAACCTAAGCTCTTAGTTAAAGATATTCATACTTTTATGTCTTTCTACTGCCACTGATGGATACTCCTTAAAAGTGTAGCAATTTAATCTTCTACTATGAGTGTATGAGATGGCTTTCATCATGTTATCAATTTTTTTTGGTTTGCCAATTTGATTAGTAAGAAAGTCTTCTCTATGTTGGTTTTGTCCTTCAACTTATTACCTTGACACTAATATCCTTTTGCATGAATTCTTATATAGTTGTTTTATGTGGTTAGTCTTCTCAAACAGACCGTAAGTTTCTTCTAGATAAAAATGAGGTCTAATATTTCCTCCCCTCCGCAGTAGCTTTGGCAATGTGAGGAATACATATGCTCAATTATTATCAGCAATAGATTTACCTCAAGGTCTGACCAGCAAATGTGGAATCAACCATTCTCCTTTTCTCCTCAGTCCAGAAGTGGAACTTGAAACCTGCCTAGGTAAAGGGTTATGCCAATAGAATTGTCTGAGAAGCTAATATATGCAGCAACCATTAAAGGACACAACACTGTTAGTGTGTGTGATACCTTTGCATAATTTGGGCAGGCACTTCCATCTTTCAAGAAAATGTCATAGCATATTGAATTTGTTAGATCAAAACTTTACTTCTGTGATAAAATTGATGTAATAATAAAAACATAAATCTATAACATGTACGACAAAAAGCCTCTTCTCTGATTTGTGCTTGTGTCCCACATTATCAGTATGCCGGTATTTGGCAGCTGTCTATAAGGCATCCTGTTGTGTCATATTCACCATTGTATGAGGGGATCCCTGGTTTTTCTTCTCTGGGAGCAATGAATCTATCACAGAAATTGGTCACGACAGACAATTATATTAAAATAGTAAATGCGATCATATAAGTATGATCCCAGGTGGCTATATAGAGAAAAACTAGTAGTAAACACTACATAGTCTTGAAAAGACAGATGGGCTTTTCTGCTCTTAGATGTGGGTTGAAAAAACATGGGAAGGTGACAATGTCAGGCAGAGAGAACTTATTTAAGATTAGAAAAGGAGAAAAGTAGCTGAGAAGTTCAACATGGTCGAGTCGCACACTGAGGAGTCTGGAGAGGCAAATATAGAGAGGATTTAAAGGCTTTTGCATGTGAAATCAATAAACTTGCTCTTTATAGTGTTTTTATTATTTTTTATTCTTATGTATTTGGTACAGGGTCTACCACACAGATCAGAGTTGTAGTGATCCTCCTGTTTGCAGCTTCCCCAGTGCTGGGATTACAGGCATGAGCCATCACACCTAGTCTCAGTGGCTGGCTCAGTGTGCCTGGGTGCAGGGCCAGCATTGCATGTGATGCGAGGGATCGAACCCTGGTCCCTGTGGTTGCCTAAGCAGACGCTTAGTCCACTGAGCTATCTCACTGGCCCTAGAGTTTTATGTTTTAGGTAATATGGCCAATATATAGATTTCTTTTTGCAGAAAGTCAATGTTTGTAGGATACTATTTGGACCACAGGCAATCTGACAGCCCAGAAAGTAGCCCACGATCCAGAGGAAGAAAGTTGCATTTTCTTCTCTAAGTTTACACTAATTCTGATAGGAGACACATTTCAGATAGAACCTCTGATGTTTGATGGCAAGTTAGAATCTGATGGCAGGAGCCGGGGAGATGGCTCAGTGGAATAAGTGCTTCCCTGGCAAGCACAGGGGCTTGAGTTCAATCCCCAGTTCTGCAAAAAAAA